TCTATAGTCATTAAGATTTTGTTTTGCTTGACATTTCCTTACAAACACGGAAGGCTCGTAAATATGCACGCGGCCTAAAAGGTGATTCAAGCTTAAAAGTTCATAAAACAATGAGATAATTCAAAAATGCCTAAAAGCTAGTTGGATTTGACTAAATRTCTATAGTCATTAAGATTTTGTTTTGCTTGAYATTTCCTTACAAACACGGAAGGCTCGTAAATATGCACGCGGCCTAAAAGGTGATTCAAGCTTAAAAGTTCATAAAACAATGAGATAATTAAAAAATGCCTTTAAACCAAAACCATTAAACCCCTTCATAAAAACTTGGGGGAAATCAGAAGAAAAATTATTTTTAATAGCAGGAGATACGTTAGACCTAGCTCCACGTGTCGGCAGCCTTTCTATTCGCATTCGTTTATGACTGGTTCCTTTAGCCGTTTCCGTTTACCCAGGTTTACAGCAAGTAAATAGTAAATAACGAAAGTGTGTTGCACGGAAAGATATATCTCTAGCTAATCCCGAACAAACGTACCGCCAAAAAGAGAAAAAAAGAGCAGTGGCGTAGCGAGAGTACCAGAATTGGAGGGACGAGCACGCTCGTTTTGGCGCGAAAACTCCCGTCAAATCCACAGGTAGCCCAACAAAACAGGATTTTTTTCCTTTACGATTATTAGTTAAAAAATACGACAAAGCATAGTTGGTATGGTATTAGTTAAGAGGTAATATTTGGTGCACTCTGTATTCGTCATATGCTGGTTACGTGGCAACCATGCCATAATAGACGATGTAGAAGATATATGTTATCCTGGTTACTATTTGATATCTATCAATGAGAAAAATGTTGAAGGCGTTTCTTGCTTGTTCTTCTGGTTCTACGTGTTGTTATCAACCGCAAATAAGAACGATAGCCAAGTGTAGTGCACGAGATTGGATATCTGAATATATAGGAGATCAAATAGGCCCTGCACCTCGCATCCTACGACTCAGTCCAATAATACTACGCAACACAAGGTCAGTTATAAGACTTCTATTACAAGAGCATCTAAATAATCCTGTTATTATAAGTAAAGCATTTTATTGCAATTTATATATTGTAACAGTAAAGATTATCTGTAAGAGCGTCGCCAGTGTGGTCATGAAGAGATGACGATGAAAAATGCATTGTCATTGTTTCAAACCAAATGGGGCTTGAATTTTGTTCCTGCGACTCTTTTAGACGGGATTAATTGTTGCTTCATGTTTCCATATTTCCACAGGGGGCATAGGAAATAGTCAATGTGTAAAAAGAGGAGCTAAAACAGCAAATTCGATTATATATATATTCTCACTAAACCACTCAGAAAAGAAATTCTAATAGTCGTGCTTCCAATGATATTCGTGAGGATGAGTAGTTAATGAATCCTGACAATCAATACTCTAGTCTAGACACTTCGAAGGAGTAATTTACTTTTTTTATCCAGGAAACAGCTCACCCAAGTCTGTTAATTGTCAGGTGTTCGATAACACTGATTTATGACTGACTTGAATTTGGTCCTTGTGTGGGATAATAAAACGGTTGGTTTTATGCTGTGATCAAAATGGACCAAAATGTTCTCCATGGAATCGTTATAGTTTTGATCGAACGGACATAGTTTTATGACAGTTTTATGACAGTTTTGATCATACTATAAAACCTTATTAGACCATGGCCATTGAATAGATACATCGTAGACAAATCAAATCGCATTTTCTATTGCACTGAAATAGTTCCTGAATCTTTATATTTCATAACAATAACATTAACGAACGAAGAAAATTGTGCCATTTCGTCAGTAAATTTATATGTATATCGATATTGGCGAAGAACTTGTGATAATTTATATTTTTTAATATTTTATGCAACCCCACTTCCATATGTCAATAACGAGGAAAACGAAGATCGTGACTATTGAACTGGAAAAAACTCTCATATCCAGTAGATCTGAGACTGAAAAATTTTAGCCAATCAGAATCGGGAATCAAGGCCACCAATGAAAAAATCAACGTTTCTAATACGCGCTTGATACAGTAATTCAAGAGTTTTGCATTTTTTTCGCGATGGCGGAATTCTTTTTATTTTCCTCTGAGTAATTTCCGCAGGCTTCACATGTCACCTTAGGTTTACAGCGACTACGTCATTTATACGTCACTATTTCAGGCCAGCTGGATCGGCGATCTTATAAGCATTGTTATTCTTGGATTTCATCTACGACATTGGAAATTTTCCCATGACTTATATACAAAACATCCACAGGCCAAAAGAGCAACAAAAACCATATATCTCAGCCAAAGATCAAAGTTTTAGAGACGGAGATACGAGCGATTGATAATACTCATAATTTAGTTGAAATATATGGGTCCGCCATTTTGGTGTCCTATTAGGGAGTGAGTATAAACATGGCGGCCGAATCACGAAGGTTGAAAATCATGTTTATGTTGGAAACACTTCAATATTTTGATAATATTACTGGATTCCTTGTGATCTGTCTAGACGTGCAAAGCATGATTTCTGTGATCGAAAAAGAGTCAATCACCAACAACCATCGCACGCTCAACTTACTTTAGTGTCGTGGGTAACAAGCAGGTGATCTGAGAAAAAAGGATTAGCAAATCAAATCGCGAATAACTTTTATGCGTCTTTGCGCGTCCAATCCTTGATGTGCAGGGGGGGGGGGGGGGGGGGGGGGGGGGGGGGGAATGTCGGACAAGGAACTGATGCAAGGAGAAATTTCATTTAGCCGAGATTTTAAGGCTCAAAAATGTTTCTGATTTGAATATGTTGTCCAGATGAGACTATAGATTTACTTGATCGGTCAGGTTATTGTTAATTTTTTATATTAAAAAACGAACCCTTAATCGCTCTTGAAGAAGCTGGCGAAAGACTCTTTCTCGATCTCTCTCGACGTTCTCGATTTCTTGAGTAAGATTTAAATAACCTCCACATCTTCCGCTGCTCCTGGGTCCTTGGAAATTTCCAGGATGCTTTAARACGTTAGCAAAGCCTCATATCTGAGTCAATAACAGAATCAACTTTTTTCAAGAGGCCCGTAAGGGGTTTGGGGAGGAGCCCCACATGGGTAATATCGATTTGGGGTTGATATTTTCTTCGTTTTACATCCTATTATAGATATGTATATATTTATAAACACGTATATCTCGTAACAAGTTTTTACAATCGAATGTGTGTATATTTCATTATGAGTGTGTTATAGGCAGTCGTGTAACGTTTGTATAAACTTACTTCAAAAAGGTAGTCACGAAAAACCTAGAAAGCTATGATAGCTGAGGAGCATGGGAAATATTTCATATTCAACGAGTAAAGCTTTTGACACAAACTGCAGCAGTTGAAGATGCTCAGAGGTGAGACTGTAACTGGTAGAAGATCTCAAGTCCATCAATAGTTATCGAGCGATTAAAACATGTAAAATGTATCTACCCATAATCCTTGCTGGTCTCAGCTTTGTAGCTTTTCAGGTGACTAACTTTATTGAAATAAGTGTAAACCTATTTCAATAAACGTTGCCATCGCCAAAGGCAATACGCGATAGGTCATTCCGACATGGAAGTGGTTTCGTTCAATACAAAGAACATCGAATCAGTCTCAGCACTAAGGTCCATACTCTTGACGAGAATAAGAAGCAGAAACACAAGTCATTCCAGCTATTCTTGGATCTTGGAATGACCTATCTCCTATCACTTTTAACTTATCGCTTATTACCTATCGCTATGGCGATGACAACTTTTTTGAAATAAGTACATATACATTTAGATACAAGCTTTGACCTTGTTTTATCAAAAATGAACGATACAATCAAAAATTCATAGCTGAATATAAAAAGTCTTTGTTAATTTTGGTCTCTCAATGTCTCTCGATAAAAATCATATGATACCTCCAACTTATAATATTTTCCACCTCGTAGTCTACTGCTTAATACCTATGTGGACAAAATATCAGAGACGTTATACCATGTTTTTTATATATCTTTATGAATCGACTGAGCTTCAGTGAATTCAAAGAGTTTTGACTTAATATTTATTTTAAGGCTGTCTTGATATTAACAAGAATTTTACATTTCCAAGGCGCTAATGAGTCGAATCCATTTGAAGAAGTTCCGGCTTACACTATTGGTCGATCTTCAATCATAATAAACTAAAGTGTTTCGAACAGCTTTTATTTCTTCGTCTGTTATGCGCAAAATATAGAGAGGGTTCTTCCGTCTCTTGGTGAYAGCGGCGGGTGTAGACATATCAATTGACGCTGTTAACGGGCGAAAGCCCTTCGGTTTACGTGGTGTCGAGAGGTTTTCCCGTAGAAAATCAAATGAAATACACGGCTATATAGAAGACTTAGACTTTAGTGTTGAACACTAATCGAGCACTAGCTAAATACTGAAACCGCGGTACGAAGGAATATCAGGTAAGTATAATGTCTCGACAAAGATAGCCGCGTGTGTCGATCGAATTCACGCTTTAACAACAACTATGAATAATCAAATCTAATTTTCACTTATTTAGGTTTAAAACATATAAACAAAACCCAGAAAATCAAAATATCTATACACAGAGTGTGTTATTCGTGGGCCGCAGTTCATCGACGACTTTAAGTTAATCACACAAACGAATATTTCAATATTGAGTATCGATGAAAACGAAAGAACGATCGTTTTGCGATATTAGCCTTGGAAGTTCTTTTTTCAGTGTTATCACCGTTTGATATTACTAATTCATTATCTTGTTCATCGTTTTGGTCGATCTTTAACACCAACATCGAGATTCCTGACGGCAAAAATCTATACTGATTTGAAATACAATTAACTAAGGGTCATGTTTACCTCCAATTTCAACAACGTTCCCCCCATTTTTAGGACAACAATTGGCGTTTTGCCATGAAATTTATGAATTCAAATTATATCAAAAGACAAAATGAGGCGAAAGAATTGATTAGTACATTTAATTTCGTGGATTTTATGGATTCATTAAAAAGTTTCCTCCTAATCTCTTAAAACAAGGTGTAATATATGAGCGGGATTAGGTCTTATTCCTTCTATAAAGAAATCCAAGCTAAAGCCGGGCTGAGTTGTTTCCTATAAATGAGGCGACATGGTGTGTTTATGCAAATCCTTTTTAGTAACTTCACAACGAATCAAAATTATTAGAAATATTCCTTGTAATTTTTCAAAGAATTGCCCTTCGGCTTTAGGGAATTATTTTATTGAAATATAATCGAGCGAAAGGAGGGTTTTACCGACTGTTAAATTTTACTTAGTTTTAGAGATTAAGATTATTGGCTGTAATATTCTTAAATTTGAATAAAAATTGACATTTGTTTACATATATATTGACGAATTAAGGATATTAAGGTGAAAAGGACTAACAGTGATTGYCTTTACATATCGAACAAAAGTACAAAGACGCCAAAACACCTGGAAATGTTATTTAACAATTTAAGTGAATTGTTTTTGATAAAAATATCACGAGGAAATCAGACGCTACAAATAACGCTATAAACCCACTTTGGAATGTGATGTCTTAGTCAAACCATTACCGGTAAACTCCATATAAACAACGAGCAAAATGCCGAMAATAATGAGGAAAAACTAGCCTAAAAATAAATCTTAACTACTACATAGTTTTCTTCATATTTTTAAAGACGTGACAAAAATTCCTTGAACTACCTTTTAAAGGTATTTTTAACTACTTTTTAAATATTTTCACAAGTCACATGATATAAACGTGGCGTGCTCTGATTGGCTAAAATAATTTGATTGACAATGACGTTACAAGATTTCTCTATCCTTTCTTTAGATGGAAAATCGCGATATCGAGTAAATTTTTCACTGAACTTTAAATCATGATAAGCTACAAAGTCGTGAATGAGATTTTAATCTCCACGGTATTAAACATAGGTTACTGAGTCAGGAACAAAATGCAAGACGCATATATTATTCATATCTACACAAATTATTTTTCTCTAGAAAATTTCGAAACCAAACTTTCTTTGATGGAAGTTAAAAAAATAATTTGTTAGCTTTACACAAATCAAATACGAAACTCTTGTACCGCCAAAAAAGGCTTGAATCCGGTCGTTGAACCTATTCATTTCATCTTTTGACGTTTCTATTGAACGAATAATCTGTCCGATCAAACAAACTAGTGTTTCATATAGATTTCCTGAAGACATAGCTTATTATTTGTTAGAATATTCTATTTTGAAGCACTTTGGTAAGGGAGGTATCACGAGACGTTGACTGACTCAACTTGATTCGAGGGCTATTTTTATTATTATAGAACTTTTAACGTGTGACGTGTTTCCGGTAATGCAAAAAATATTCTCAATGATTTAATCTCTACCTGAAAAATTGAGATTTTTTTTAACAACAAATCCTGTCATGAAGAAAGAGTAATAAACATCTTTACAGTACTGCTTTTCCATTTTGGGCACGGAAGTCGCTGCTTTTCCATACGAATGATGTCATTAACCAACCGGCAAGAGAGTTCGCTTAGTAAGACTTAATTCATAATTAAGTCAGTCCTGCTTTCTTGATTAAACACTGAAAAATAATGTAACATAAATACGAATCAAATATTTATCCCGTATTACGAATCATAAATGAACCGGTTCGTCACAAATAAAATTTCCAATTATTTTCTAATATCTCTTGGAACAATTTTGAAATGCCGTTTTATTCAAAACTGAAAAATCAAATCTGAAATCATAATCATTTCCTCACAATACTAATCGCTAAGTAGCAATTTATTTTTTGTCTGACTCATACAGCAAGTGACTGCCGGATTGGTTTTATGAAAACACAGGTAGCCCAGTTCTTAGTTGTTCACATATAAACAAGATGCTGTACTATTTCTATCTTTCAACTGGTTATTACGTCAGTAGCTCTCAGGGATTTTTTTTTCGAGTTGACATTTTTATCATAATTTGTTTTCTTTCGTGCGTTGTTCACCGTTGTTTTTATCTTTATTCTTTCTCAGTAATTGATTTGTTGTTGTTGTTAGTGGTGTCTTATTACGTACATTCTTGAAGATTCCATTCATTGGTTGTCTTGGAAGACGGAAATCCTAGCTTAAAATCATTAAAAAGCTGCTATTTGCCCTCAATTAAACCTGTGCATTACGTGCGCTGACTCGACTCAGTTCATGGTTAGTGTTTAGACTTTCACATCAAATCGGAAATATAATGAATCGATCTTGAACTGGAATTGATTAAGGATGTTGCCCTTTGAATTTAGTAATTTTCACACTAGCTGAATTATTAAATTGAAATTACCTTCTCTCTACTTTTCTCGATTATAAAAGCTGTTCTCCACGCGTGTCACGTGACGTCTACTACTATTTACCTAATGATCTTTTAGCCACAGATTTTATTCGCTGTAAAATGTAAAGTATGATGACACTCAAATGGTTTTTTTGAAATTAAGCGTTGTGATTGGCTGAAGTAAGTTTCTTTGCTTTTGTGATTGGTTTATCAGTATCGAAGCCATTTGACTCAGTTCCGTACGCTTTCCACACACAAACTCTGATCCACATGCTGTTATCATGAATGATAGTGAGAGGTAAGTGAAAAGAACCTGGGGGAAAACCTTAAGATTGTTTATCAAAAACTTAATTAAACTATCAAAATAAGATCTCTCTGAGGCCCCCTGCTTGATTCCCACGCTGGGACGCAATACAGAATAATTCAATAATCAGTATATATCATTTTGAGATAAACATCTCTGTTCAAGCAGAAAGGGAGGGATTTGTTTTATGCCATCGATTACGGTGACTCAAACAGTTCCTCGTTAGAAGTGTGGTATGGACAATGGCAAAAACGTTTCAAGATAACAAAGATATATAATTCTTCGCAGCAATTCGTCAGAATTCCACATCGCGAAAACCAGTCTGATTCTTTGAAGGAGAGAGTACACATATAAATTTTAAATGATTCATAATATTTTCATCTATTCTTTCCGTGGAATACAGAAGTAATAGCTCAGCCAGAGGCTCGTATATGTTAAATTTTCAATGCGAAATTAAGATCTAGAATTTATCTTATCATTTCAAATTTTGAATGTACGTATATTTCGTACAATCAAGCTAAGAGCGCCTTTCTTCAGTCCCGAGGCTAGATATAGACTAGATGTATTGATAAAGGCTGCACATTAGACCAACCCCCAAATCAAAACTATCTAACCAAAATCTCACAGTGATCACTCATTTTACTTAAATGTTTCGTTCATAGAAATTGCAAGCCATCTCAGCTTTTAATCTTGAATCAAAATCACATTTGAAAATCTTCAGACCTTAATTAATTTGATACTAAACATGGAGACTGAAAACTATAATATTGCTAAGTACACCAGTGTTCCATGCAAAGCACAGCAGAGACAGCTTATACGTGTTTCGCTGGTCCAGTATTGCGAGTGACAGTTCTCGGAACGAATTAAGACCTAAGCATTGATCTTTGTTCGGAAGTTAATTGAATTCATGCAAGAAAGTAGGCATATATAGATTTGTTTATTTTTTGAACAATTTCCCTTGTTGGTTTTGTTGGATTGTTTTCAATGAATTTCCAATTACAACGTCAGTATTAACAATATACTTTTCAGTTTTGACTCCAAATTGAAAATAAAGGCTTTTTTTCGTAGCCCGTTTTCTAAAAATCTATTCCTGACCAAATGTTATTAAAGTAAATTCCGAACTACTGAACAAAACAAAAAATATCCTATATTTTAGTCTAGCAAAGTTCCCAGTTCAATAAATGTTTCAATTTAAGATGACCTTTTATTCAAAAGTTCCGACTTGATTATTCCCCCAAAGCTGATTCCGATTTACGTAAACTCTAGATGCTTCTTAAGTTCCGTATTCATCAAAATGTTTTATTTTGATGTAAAACGAATTCAAATTCATAAGCTTAGTCATAGTTACTCTACTAAGTAAGATGTAGTGTATATTATGGATAATATAGATTTTGTTTTACTAAAGTTGTCGCTGAAATCAAATCAAATCAAATGCTAAAATAAGTTGAAATCCAAGCAATTTGTTAGGAGTTCTTGACAGSCGTCTACTTAGATCCAAAGTGCATGAATATATTCAACACACGAATGATAATCAGTTATCCTTCCTATATAGATCTTTACTGAAAATAAATGTTAATCAAGCAACTAAACGAACTAAGACTGTCAAGAAAATACCACCAAAAAGTTGCTAAGGTGTCAGTAACATTGAAGAACTATGAGTTCCGTAAAATCGATTGTTGCTGGTACGACACAAAAGGGTCTCGAAAAAGAATTTCGCTTCGAATTATTCATTGCACACTAGACACACTCAAGAGTTGAAAACGAAAGATCTTTTTTTAAGTACTTTGCTTTGTGTTTTGACTTTTCCGCTCTCTCTGAACGTTGTTTTTGAAACATTTATTTTTGCCTTGGGGCAAAATTCTGAAATTTTTACAATTCACACTCATTCTTATTAAGTGCCATTTTTCAATCTACCAATCAATCTTCTAAAGTGTAAGCTCAAAAAACAGTGTTTTTGAAGCAAATAAAGTCAAGGACGATGAAATTGATTGCGCGCGGTCTTTGCTTTAATTATTTGTCAATACTCATTGCTCTAAAGCCTAATGCCGATGTTATCGCCGTAACTTCGAGTTTATCAATCATTGTGTTAGCTTAAAACGGCTCTTAGTAGTCCAACATCCAAACACTGAATCTGTTTGCTCATTATAATAAACAAATGAAGCCACCACCAAAAGAACCCGACGATCCGCGATTTTAGGAATAAACACGAGAGCTAGATAAAGGAAAACTAGCGACGTCACGATTTTATTGACAGAACTTCATCGATCACCGCCAAAAAAAGAGTCTTTTGTGGCAGAAGATTGACAAATCCATTGACGGCAGAGAGAAATTCGCGAGAGTATATTTAGCAAAGCACTCTTCAACGTAACCTGGAATTTCAAGAGTCTATTGTTGCGATAGAATATTCCAATTATTTTAGAAAATGGGTTCCGATTGTGGAGTCCAAAACATACACTTGGAAGCCATACAAAAATTCTTGATTTTTGTGCAGTGTATTTAGTAATGTTTATTAATGTATCCTCTGCACCTAGCTTATACTCATTATTTATTCAGCCCGGCGACAAATCTTTATATGCCCCGCTCTGAACATAAGCCCAACAATAACTTTTAAAAGAGTTACCGCTTAATTCTATAGAATTATTGAAGCTTAAAAAAAACAATCCGCGAAACTACTTCGCAGGGGTGCTCAGCATTAATTCAATCAGCTGTTTTGAGAAACGTTTTTAGGAAAGGAGTCAAACACTTAGCATGTTTCATCAGTCGATTTTAATCTGTTTGGTGGCTTTTCTTTGGTACTTTTGGTAAATTTTGGTGGACAAGAGAACAAAGGTATAACCGTACGTTTGCCGCGGTTGCTTCTGCTATGGCTAAGGTCGACTCGGTGAAATTTTATGCAAGAAACGCGGAGTCAATAGAAGGGTAAATATGTAAAAATGCTCCAAACCTCAACATTTTATTTCAAAACGATAGAAAAGCTATGCAGCTTGAGTTTATTTTGACCTATAGTTCTATGTAGTTTGATAGCATGAGAGAACGCGGACCTATTAAGACCATTGTCAAGTTGGTGATTGTGTCCAATTCGCTTTCAGAACATTTTATAATCAGGTTAAATCATACATAAACTAGAAGATAGGTTTCCTTTTTGGCCCTTCATGATATGACTTTGTAACTGATAGATGATCAATGATAATCTCTAAGCAAACATCGTCTTTCCTTTTTGTCCATACAGGTCGTCAGTTTTCCTGCCTTCCTTGTCAGGCTGAGCAAAGCAAACGCTGGAAAAGACAGATGTGCCGTAGTTTCCGTGTATGTAGACAAACTACTACGTCATTCCAGTCATTTATTCTGCCCACAGTAGATTTCTCTCGACTACATTGATCAATGGTCTTTTCTCATTGCCGAAATATTTACGATTAGTTTGTTTGGTTTGAGTGTTCGTGGATGACGACGGTTGTGCAAGAGTTTATATCTCACCACTTTCAGTGGCATTTGTCCAACCTCTCGACCATGGTATGTTTTCCTGCGCTGATTGGAATTGCTATGATCTATTTGGTGGCACTCGTACTTCGTTTTCTGCACAACAAGCAAACATTTGCCAGTCAGTTGTACTACAAGAAGTCGAGATTAGGAGTTTTGCTCGTCAAGAAATGCAAGATGCTAGGAGAATCTTTTACGCCGACATTTTGGGCAGGCAACGCACATCTTCAAACATTGCTGCCTTGGATTCTTCCTCAAAGCGAAATTGAATTCAGTCGGGAATATCTTCAAATGGCGGATAAGGGTATCATAGCACTAGACTGGGCAGTAGTGAACGATAGAGTTTTAGATAAATCTAGTCCTATTATGATAATCATACCAGCTCTAACACAACACACTCCTGACATGTCGTCTCTATGTTCCAGCGCGTTGGTGCAAAAATTCCGTCCAGTCGTGTTTAATCGCCGAGGTCATGGCCAGACCCCTCTAACAACGCGTCGCTTACAGACATTTGCCGAGGGTGGTGACTTGGAAGAAACGATCGTATTTATCAATCGCATGTACCCGAATGCTGACATATTTGCTGTTGGACTATCATCTGGTTCTGGGCTTCTGATTTCCTACTTGGGAGAATTAGGCGCTAATTCTGGAATTACCGCAGCTGTGTGCATCTCGCCTTGTTACGACGCTGAGGGCTATTTCAAAGGGAAAATATGCCAGCCTTATAATTGGCTGTTGACTTGGAAGTTGAAGGAGTTATTAAGACAGCATCCATCTCTGAGAGAGTGTATAAATTATGAGTATGCAATGCAAAGTGAGACGGTCAAAGACTTCGAGGAGCGAGTGTTCATCAAGCTTAATCCTCAGTACTATTCCAATGAGGAATATTGTCGTTTGAATAACCCTATGAGGAATATTGCTAACGTCAGTATTCCTGTACTTTGCGTCAGCGCGCTAGACGACCCTATTTGTCCAAAAGAAATCATTCCTTTAAGCCTTTTCAAAACATCTTCGAATTTTTTTCTCCTGGCCACCGACAAGGGGGGTCACTGTGGCTTTCTTGAGAATACATGGCCAGCTTCCTGGGCAAATAAATTGGCCTGTGACTATCTAGCTACTGTTCGTAACATTGAAATGCCTAAGGCTTCAGATGATCGTCATTTTAGCGCGTTGGAAAAAATGGGCCCACGAAGTAGGAGCTATACGACTTAAACGTCATTGGACGTCACTTTGGAATGCGTTCTTATTATATGTTATCTGCGACTAGATGATGACGATTAAGTAGAAAGAGAAAAAAGACTAATTGCTTATTAAGGAAGGTAGTTCCCTGCTAGCAGAGCCTATTTTCCTTTTGTTTTGGTGGAGTGAGAAAAATAGACTCTGCCGATGTAGGACGTTATTTCGGTCGCGCATGCGTGACGTAACTTAGCAACGCTGTCATGATTTTGACAGCTGCTCTCGTCAAACAACGTTTGGCGGTGTGTTACATTTGCTCATGCGCACTACATGTAATCGGCTAAAAACTGGTTTTGTTCGTCCACAATCGTGGACGGCGGTATATCAAAGGAAACGCTCTACATCGGCAGTCTCCTTCCTCCGCGCCTGAAAGAAGGGAGAGAAAGAGAAGAGAGGTAGAAGTGTTAGTAAACAATTCCTTGCGCAACTGAGGAACAACTTATCGAAAATTAAAATTATTTTCACATTTTTTCTTCTAGATGTTTGGAATATTTTTGTCGTGTGTTTCTTCCATCCATTCGATTGTTATCAAATATACACCAGCCTATTTTGACTCGTATATCTTAAAATGAATCGTCGCGACCGACCTTTTAACTTTTTACAAGATGTGTGTGATTTCGAGAGGTTTGACCATCAAGTCGATCACTTTTCTTTATCGCTTCACCCACGCACTACATTAGCAATGAAAGCCCAACTGCAAAAAATTAAGATTCACGACGGAACATTTTCTTGACAGCGTGTCAGGTAAATGCGATAAATGACACTTGGAACAACACTTTGCTTTGCTTTTGGGGTTTTTATGGATTTGTAGTTAATTTTGATTTTAATCAAACCCACAATCAGATATATAGAACCCTGAAACAACCTCTTAGCTCGCCTATCAGGGACCCGTCGAGCGAGTTGGATTGGTGAGAAGGGAGGGGGGGGGGGGGGGGGGCTAATACTTCAAATATCTCTTCCAAATACTAAGTTTTATTTCAAATAGAAAATAAGCAAATGACTCAAAAATGGCGGCAAAATTATTGCTAGGGCTATAGCCCCCCAGCCCCCTGAGTTGCGCGGTCCCTGTCTATAAATTAGGGCACAACTGACTCACAGATCGAAAGAGGAATTTAGCGTCTGTGTTGGGTTTTGTGGACGGAGGAAAAAGGATAACCCGAAGGAAAAATTACGCTAGAAACTCGACAAATTTTGGTAACATGTGATTACGAGTCTGGAAATCAAACTCGAGACCCCAGAGATGAGAGGCTAGTTCACTAGCACCACACCATTCTTGATATTTGGTTTTTCTGCAGTTTGATTTAGTGCATGGGTAACGTACGAGTGGACTGAAGAAGACGAAGGCCGTTGATGCCATGGCCAGAGTGTTTGTTTTTCACGATTTTTTTAATAAAAAAATCCTATAAAAGCTGATTTTATTTTGGAACCAATCAGAAAGCGAAAAGATACAAAATAATAAGTCACGTGCTCATAATCTGATAATGGCCGTTATGACTTCCGTTTATATAAGAAGCTAAACAATATGTGAGTCAAATCTTTTCATAATGTATACTAATGGCATATATTACAATAATCTGGCATCATTTTTATATACGAACAAATGTTACTTGAAAATACACAATAACGGGAGAAAAAACTCAGGGGTGGAGGGTGTGGAGGGGAAAATACACAATAACGGGAGAAAAAACTCAGGGGAGGAGGGTGTGGAGGGGGAAACAATCATAGCCGGGCGCCGGACTAGAGGCCGCCGGGACAAGGAAGAGTTTTCATTTTAACAAACCATGCATTGCATGCCTAGATTCGCTAAAAGCCGACAAGAAAGCGATGAGAATGTTGTTGTTAGGCTACGTTCATAATGTATGGCAGAGGGGAGGCAGGTGAAATTGAGGGGGCATTTTTAAAAAATCTTACAAGAAAAAGGGTGGATTTGAATTTTTTTATCGGAAAAGTGGCGGGAATGCTATACTAATTGCCCCCCTCCCCTCTGCCATGCATTATGAACGCAGCCTTAGCATCAAGTTTATTACTGCTTTTTTGAGATCAAATTTTCAGTTCCCCCCTCTCTCTCTCTTTCTCCCCTTCCCTGTCAAAAATGGTATCTTTGCTGTATATGTTGTTTGCGCAGATAAACTGGATAAAGATACACCTAGCTAATGTCTAGACAATAGCTATACTATCTAACTAGGCTTTTAATATCGTTAAAAATAATCATTTTTCGGATCCGTGTGGTGTTCTCTATTGATTGCATTGTCTAGTTTCTCGCTTATGACGTCAAAAACCAACTGGTGCCTTCTCATTCGCATTACCCTGTAGGGAAGATATCCGCTGGTCAGGTACAAAAGCCTATTTAACCAAAGAGAAGACCCCAGAACATTGATGTGAAAAATACGACGCAAAAATTGAGGAAAAACAATTGACGAAATACGACTGAGTTGTTTGTTTGTGAAAAAAAAATAAACGTGCGTATTGAGAACCGTGGTCTCAGTTTACTTTAATTTCAAACTCTCTGTTCCTCAGTTTTAGCAGTTTTAGTTCATTAACCTGTTAAAATATCGATAGAAATCGACCAAAATCCTTCTAAAACCATAAAAATTTGGTCTCGTTTTGACAGTTTTATTCACGCGGGGTTTGCCAAAAACCTCCAGTCGGGTCCCATGTACGGGTGATTTTGTCATTGGAACCCAGTTCACCACGGTCGATTGGTCCAACTCTTCCCTCCTTCGTATTTTAACGGCCATTTTATGATGGAGTTTGAAATCTTTCTTCTGGCTACTAGCCTCTGTAATTGGACTTCTTGCGACATTGTGTGTTTCGTAAAATTGGAAATTTATCCCTTCGTAGCCCTGCGGAGTTAGAAAGCCGGGGAACGCGATTTAATGTCGAAGATTCTGCTCCGATCATGATTTGGGTCGACTCGATTTAGGGTCAGGAGTCTCCTTCCTTGTCTTCTTATACAACGGGAAAGGGAAATTTTTAAAAAAAATCCGCGCTAAAATGGCTCGAAATCACTACTAAAGAACTAGGATGACGTATAAAACGCTTCATGTGAGTAAATATTAGCTTTCTTTTATTTTATTTTTTTATTTTTTTCGTTAAATTACATTCAGCTTTCAAAGCTTGTATGGGCTTCCTGTGGTCATTCCCAAGAGTGTCATTTCTTTGTTCAGCGGTTTTGCATGAATCTTGCGCATATCTGATCAATAGAATGACACGTGGTCTATAATCGGAAACATGCTTTCGATTCTGATTCTCGCCCAAGTTTCGGTTACCGTTACCAATCCTCCTCGTCCAGCATCACACAAAAGTTATTAACTTCCTGTTCATACTGAAGATTATTAGCTGTAGTATTCAAATATGTTTGAAGACTTTGTTGATTCATCTGTCTTCAAGTGTCATAAAGTTAATAAGACTGCAGTACATGAGCACTTGGTTTATTCAATCAGCCGCACGACAAGAATATCAATATTATTTGTCATTTTTGGCATTTGTCATTCGTTTTTTGTTTTGTTTTGGTTTTTTTTTTGTTTGTTTGTTTGTTGGTTTTGTTTTTTTGTTTGTTGTTGTTGTTGTGTTTTTTTTTTTTTTTTTTTTTTTTTTTTTTTTTTTTTTTTTTTTTTTTTTTTTTTTTTTTTTTATAACAATAAATCGGTTAATTATTCCAGTATCAAGGTTTGGATGAAATGATAGTGGAACTAATAATTTTGTGAAATTCTACTTCTGTTTTGGAGAATGGATGGATGAACGAACGAACGCACGGATGGATGGACAGACGGAAGTTGGACGGATGGACGGATGAATTGATGGATGGATAGATAATTTATTGAATGAAAGAAAAGAAAAATATATTAATGATAAAATGGTTAATGACAGCTGAATGGAGGGAGGGAGGGAGGGAGGGAGGGAGCGAGAGATGGAGGGTTTGATTAATGGACGAATGACAATCCACGGGACGAGAGCGTAATGCCATGTTACACACACCTGAACAGGTGCGATGACTTGTCTCCATAGTCTGTGACTGCTCGTTATCCATATGCATAAAACTACATGTTGTGATTCACAAAGTAGGAAAGAAACGAATCCGTCCTGATCTCCAATCATTCAAAGAAGCCCAGAAGAAAATAAAATCATGAGAAAGTACAAAAGTATCGCAGTCCTCTTATCCATCGTGGTATTCTCCGGTAAGTTAGTTCTGTCCAAAGTTAGTTTTTTTAATGTCAGCCATTTCATTAGGAGTCCTTCGAGTTCTATGTGAAAAGCTCGTTGTTTTGCTCGCTGATTCATTCTTCGAGGACCAGTCTTCTCCTAGTTCTCCTTCGTCCCCCATAATCAGCTTCCCAGCCGGTTCAATTCCAATGGGAAGTCGCTCTGTGAAAGCCAGTACACTCTCCCTACCTCATTACCCAATTATTTCTTACCATTAATTCAAAATCAATCAAATTTAGCCAATTTTCTTGACGAATGAAAAAACTTAATTTTATTAATTTTTAGATAGAAAGATTTTGCTTTTGGGTTTCTACTTAAGGAAAAATATTTTACTGAATTACGCAAATATGTGCAAGATGTGCTTTTTCTTGAAGCAAGCTTTTCTGGTGCGAAATTTGCAGTCAGATCCATAAATTTTCGGAGGAGGGGGGGGGGGGCTGGAGGATTTTAGGAAAAGCTATGATAATAGAAATCTGGCTTAGCTTTACTAAGATCTATTGAGCTCGCATATCTCTATCCTCTCCTCTCCTCCCGACTAGTTGAATACCCAACTTATATCCCTTAGACCTACTACACGATGTCCACCCAGTGTGACGGTCTTCATTCATTCTATTTTGTTCCACACATAAAGGTGCATTCGCCTCTCGGCCCGAGTACTGCAACCTGCCATTTGAGACCGGCAAATGCATGGCCTACATACCAAGTTACTACTTTGATCCAAGCACAGGAGCTTGTGAACAGTTCATCTATGGAGGGTGTGGAGGAAATAAGAATAACTTTGATACAATGGAAGCCTGCGAGAAAACCTGCAAGGTGCAATAAACCATGATGCTAATGTAGAATACAGTCATCTCTTGGGAATTAAATGCTTTAAGTTGCATACTTTGTCGATAAAGTGTCGATAAGAATAATAATATCTTTGATACACTGGAAGCCTGCGAGAAAACCTTTAAGGTGCAATAATTAGAATGAACTATAAATAACCTAATTAGAATGAACTATAAATAACCTATAAACAGATACAATTTCTTGGTGTCTTTTTTTTTACATCTCAGGGCTTTCAAATGGTCTAGGGCCCGGTTGAACGAAGAATAAATAGCGCTATCCGGTAGATAAATCCTTTTGCCCCTTGTACGTGACGTCAAAGCAGCTAAATTTGGAGAACAAAACAAAAGAGTTTCAATCTCCTGAGAATTGGAAACCCATTGTTATGTCCTCCAAATGGTGATGCATTCCCACGTACTGCAAGGGGACTACTCTCTATACTACCTATTC